CCCGCCCAGCCCGGCTGAGGTCCAGCCCAGGCCCGGTCCAGCCTGGGCCGTGTTTCCCGCCCAGGGGCTGAGGAGTTCTTACGTCGGGGAGCGGGGACTGTTAAGCCAGCAGCCGGGGCCCAAACTTGTGCGCCCCCAGGCCGCCCCGGGGCTCCGCGCTCTTCCTGGGCGAGGGTCGGTCAAGTTGACTCAGCAGCTCGGGACTGAATTGAAGAGGGGGGCTGGTTAGTGCAGGCCCAGGGCCGGTGTCCTGCGAGATGGGTGGCTCAGGCGGCATCACGGGGAGGGGAAAGTAAGAGTAAGCAGCAGCAGCAAAAACGTGTGGGGATAAAGGAGCGCAGCATTGCTGTCGGCTTGCTGTGCAGAGTGTTTTCCCCTTGCCAGCAACTTTTCTTGCAGGGACTTCTTGAGTAAGGGCCAGAGCTTATGTGCTTTATTTCCACTGGATCTCTTCTCCATGAATGTGTCTGCCCTTCAGACCATGGTAAGTTTTAGCACGCACAAGTCATGTAGTAAGTCACCAAAGATATTTCTGGCCCAGCTGTATATTTTTTGAGGAAAAGGTGTTTTCTTTAAAACCTGCCCACTGCTATTTTCATTTTATAACCCTTCGTTCTTGAGAGAGACTATGGCCACTCATGGTGTCCATGCTACTCACTTTATGGATCTCTGTCTTACTACTTGACACCCTTTTGTATGCCAAATACTCCTTGACTACTTCAGTTACTCTTTGGTAATCTTTGTTAGCTTATCTGACCTTTTTCAGCCGTATCCTTTCTGAAACAGGAACGACTGGAATGATGCAGTGTTCCAGTGTCTGCATAGTATGAGTTTACAAAGCAGCATATTTATTATCTGTTGTGTGCACCATTCATCTGCTGTTTCTTAACATTCTGTTTGCTTTATGAGACTATATCCCTGGGCCTTGAGCTGATGTCAGTGGGGACACCAAAGAGGATCAAAGCTGTAACAGGGGCTTGAAAGAAAGCAAGATATTATTGTCTCCAGGTTGGAATTGTTCTTCATGTGCTATTTAAGAGAAGCCACGGCTGCCACCCTGAACAGCTGACATGCCTCTGCCTCTCTTGAAAGAGCACAAAAGTGCCAAAGGGGAAAATCTGCTTTTGAGGTGTGGGCTTCTTCAGGCTGTCCCAAGTTTTTCATCTCTGTTTCTGTGACTTCTCTTGGGTACGTTTTTGTAGAAAAATACCCAGCTGAAACCTCCTACCCAGAGCATTTACATTCATAACTTGCATGTATTTGTTCTTGTTTTATATAGATACACATATTTAATGACCTGGGCGACTACCTTAAATGAAAAACAA